ACTCCCCAATAGTTTTTAGGACAAAATGCACAAAAAAAATAAAAAAAATAATTGAAGTTGGAGACGAAATTTTAATCAAGAGACCTGTGAGGTCCGCTTTCTCTCTGTATTGTGGACCTGCCCGCATGGTTGGAGCGTCTCTGGTAAATCAGTCAGAATTTTTTACTCCAGATTTCGATTGATGCAAACTTGGCAACGTTGGAAAGAACTCACAGAGCTTTAATTTGGTAGGCTACGAGTCACCTAACTCTTCATATGAGATCGTTTGAAGTTGACTCAAGTAAAATCTTATATCGAAATTCAATCGATAAGAAAGGTCTCAACTCAACTTTGTGCTAGAGGATTAGTATGACCTTAATTCAACTCCAAATCTCTTCTCACACTAAATAATTGACCTTAATACATATGCACAATTAAGAATCACACAATACAACCTTATACACATATGAAGAATAGTTTAGATCTTAGCTTAGAAATTATTTTTGAAATGTTACATTTCATACTTGAGAACTTGTTTCACGATTGACTTATTATTAATCATCTGAAACTAAAATCATTGTCCAACACTATATGTTTTCTTTTTGGCATCGTCAACATCAAAAACATAAATCACATTGCCTCATATTTTCTTAGTTGTTTTATATATAACAAATAAATCAAATAAAGAATTAACTGTTGTAAAACTTAAGGACAAAAGAACAATATAAAGAGGAAGAGAAGAAGACTATAAGACAAGAGGAACAATATAAACTAACATTCTTTCTTTCAAGTGTATTCAACATTATTCTCAACACCACTATTTATAGGATTACATTGAGGAATACCAAAAGGTGTCATAAACATTACATTAAACCTTGAGAATTACTACCCATTAAGGAGGAAATAAACCTAGGAGTTATGGTCATCCAATTAACCATATTATCAACAACATTACTACCAATAAAGGATGAAATTAACCTAGGAGTTATGGTCATCCATTTGACCACATTATCAACAACATTACTACTCCTAAAGGAGGGAAATTAACCAAGGAGTTATGGTCATCCATTTAACCACCAAAATGATTTACAACACTCCCCCTTGGATGACCATTGATAGATAATATGTCTCGTTAAAACCTTACTAAGAAAAAAAAACCCTGTGGAAAAAAAAAATCTTAGTGAAGGACAAAAGAGTACACATATCTTGTAATACGCTTTGTTTACTGCCTCGTTAAAAACCTTGCCAGGAAAACCCATTGGGATAAAACCTAGGTCAAGGGAAAAAGAGTGCAGCGCGTAGTTTACTCCCCCTGTTGCGAATATCATTTAATTTCTTGGAGACGACGCATTCCAATCTTGAATACCAACTTTTCAAATGTTGAGGTTGGTAATGCTTTAGTGAAAAGATCCGCTAAATTATCAACTGAGCGAATTTGTTGAACATTTATTTCACCTTTTTTCTCAAGATCATGAGTGAAAAAGAATTTTGGTGAAATGTGTTTTGTTCTATCTCTTTTAATATATCCTCCCTTCAGTTGAGCTATACATGCAGCATTGTCTTCGTATAATGTAGTTGGAATATCTTTTTCCATAGAAAAACCACACATTTCTTGAATATGTTGAGTCATTGATCTCAACCAAACACATTCCCGACTCGCTTCATGGATGGCTATTATTTCGGCATGATTTGAAGAAGTAGCAGCTAATGTTTGCTTCATTGAACGCCAAGATATAGTTGTGCCTCCATATGTAAATAAATAGCCTGTCTGAGATCGAGCTTTATGTGGATCAGACAAATATCCAGCATCTGCATAACCAATCATTTCTGACTTGGATTTATTAGAATAAAATAATCCCATATCAATGGTTCCCTGAAGATATCTTAATATATGTTTTACACCATTCCAATGTCTCTTTGTTAGAGACGAGCTGAATCTTGCCAATAAACTTACTGCAAAACAGATATCTGGTCGAGTATTATTAGCAAGATACATAAGCGCCCCAATGGCACTAAGATATGGAGTTTCATTGCCAAGAAGCTCTTCATCATTTTCTTGAGGTCGAAATGGATCTTTATGTATGTCAAGTGATCTCACAACCATCGGGGTACTCAATGGATGTGATTTATCCATGTAAAATCGCTTTAAAACCTTTTCTGTGTATGTTGATTGATGAACAAATATTCCATTTTTCAAATGCTCAATTTGTAGGCCAAGACAAAATTTTGTCTTACCAAGATCTTTCATTTCAAATATTTTTGTTAAACACTCAACGGCTTTTGAAAGCTCTTTAGAAGTGCCAATGATATTTAAATCATCAACATATACCGCTATTATAACAAAATCAGATCCAGACCTTTTTATAAAAACACAAGGACAAATAGGGTCATTTCTGTACCCTTCCTTTAGCAAAAATTGGCTAAGACGATTGTACCACATTCGCCCTGATTGTTTCAATCCATATAAGGATTTTTGAAGCCTTATCGAACAATTTTCTTGCGAATTTTCATGAAAAGCTTGAAATGCGTCTTAGCACATTGTATGCTTCAGGAACTTTCATGAAAATATCGTGGTCCAATGAGCCATATAAATAGGCTGTGACAACATCCATTAGACGCATTTCAAGCTTTTCATGAACTGCCAGATTTATTAGATACCTGAAGGTAATTGCATCCACCACTGGAGAAAATGTCTCCACATAATCAATGCCAGGCCTTTGCGAAAAATCTTGTGCCACAAGTCGTGCTTTATATCTGACGACTTCACCTTTTTCATTTCGTTTTCGCACAAAAACCCATTTGTACCCCACTGGCTTGACACCTTCAGGTGTTTGGACTATTGGTCCAAAAACTTCACGTTTTTCAAGTGAAGTCAATTCCGCTTGAATTGCTTCCTTCCATTTTGGCCAATCATTTCTCTGTCTACATTCATTGATAGATTTTGGTTCAAAATCCTCACCATGTTGCATTATTTCAACAGCAACATTATAAGCAAAAATATTGTCCACCACAATACTATTTCGATTTCACATTTTTCTCGTCGAGACATAACTTATTGAGATTTCTTCATTCTCATTATTTTCAGTTATTTGGACCTTCTTTGTGGTCTTATCATTTGTTATGTCTCGGGGCTCTTCTTGAGCAATTTCCTCTATGGTATGATCTTCATGATCATTTGTTCCTTTTCTTTTTCGAGGATTTTTATCTTTTGAACCAATTGGCCTACCACGTTTTAAACGTGATTTAGACTCATTTGCTTTAACAATTTGTCCTATCGGGACATCAACTCGAACTGGAGCATTTGCAACTGGAATATAAGATTTAGTAACCCTTGGAAGGTTAGTAAATGCATCTGGCAATTGATTTGCAACATTTTGCAAATAAATCATCTTTTTAACCTCTTGCTCACATTGATTTGTTCGAGGATCCAAATGAGATAGAGATAATGAATTCCAATCTATCTCTTTTTCCAACTGTTTATGTTCTCCCCCTAATGTTGGGTATACTGATTCATCAAAATGACAATCAGCAAACCTTGCCGTAAATATATCTCCTGTCATAGGTTCCAAATATTTGATAATAGAAGGAGATTCATACCCAACATACACTCCCAACCTTCTTTGGGGACCCATCTTTGTGCGTAGCGGTGGGGCAATTGGAACGTATACCGCGCACCCAAAAATTCTAAGATGGGAAATATTTGGCTCATGACCAAAAACCAACTGTAATGGAGAGAATTCATGATAACTAGTTGGTTTTATGCGCACCAATGCTGCTGCATGCAAAATAGCATGTCCCCATATTGAAACAGGCAACTTTGTTCTCATTAACAATGGTCTAGCTATCAATTGGAGACGCTTAATCAAAGATTCCGCTAGACCATTTTGAGTGTGAACATGAGCAACTGGATGTTCAATTGTTATTTCAGTGGACAAACAATAATCATTAAAGGCCTGCGATGTAAACTCACCAGCATTATCAAGACGAATTGTCTTTATTGCATAATCTGGAAATTGTGCTCTTAATTTTATTATTTGAGCCAACAACCTCGCAAAAGCCATATTGCGAGTTGATAATAAGCACACATGTGACCATCTTGTAGATGCATCTATCAAGACCATATAATATTTAAATGGCCCACATGGAGGGTGAATTGGCCCACATATATCACCATGTATACGTTCCAAAAATGCAGGGGTTTCAATCCCAACCTTAGCTTCTGATGGTTTAATAACCAATTTTCCTTGAGAACAAGCAGCACAAGAGAATTTCTTTGAATGAAGAATTTTCTGATTCTTCAAAGTATGCCCATGTGAATTCTCAATAATTTTGCGCATCAAATTATAACCGGGATGGCCCAACCGGTCATGCCAAATGATAAAATCATTAGAATTAGAAATTCTTTTGTTTACTATGGCATGTGATTCAACCATACTAATACTTGTATGGTACAATCCAGAACAAAATGCGGGTAATTTTTCATGCACATATTTTTGCCCCAATTTTATTGTAGTAATATAAAGGTATTCAACCTTTCCTTCATTGGCAGTCTCAACATGATAGCCATTTTGGCGAATAACCTTGAAATTTAATAAGTTTCTTTGAGACTTACTACAGTACAATGCATTTTCAATAGTTAATATCGTTCCCCCATGTAGTAGTAAGGCCGCTCTTCCAGAGCCCTCAATTAATTTTGCACTACCAGATATTGTATTAACATAAGCCTTTTTCACAATCAAAGTAGAGAAATATTTCTTTTCTCTTAAAATAGTGTGAGTTGTAGCACTATCAAGAAGACACATATCTCCATTACTCATCTTGAACCAATTGAAGATTGGGGAATTTTATTTATCTTCATAAAATAAAAGTACATCATAAGAAATATGAAAAACTAACAACTTTGCAAGAAAATAAAAGTACTTTTTTTTTCTAAATATAAAAACAACATAAGGAAAAACATAACAATAAAAAACACATAAATAAAACAACATAATTATTTTCCCCAATCAAATGATCAAACATTAATTTTGATCTCCAAAGAAGTCTTCAACTTCCAAATGAGTAATATCATCAAGGTCATCAAAATCATCATCTTTTAAAGCCAAATTTGCTTCAATATTGTCATCATATTTTTGTGAAGGCCCTGCCTCGGCATCATTTTTATAAGTCAAGTGTGACTCCACCCGAGCATTAGAAGAAGATGCACCATTTTTATTTCCTTTTCTTTTCAAGGAATCTTGATAAAGCCTAACAAAATGCTCAGCTGCTCGGCATTCATTCTTCCAATGCCCTTTCAAGCCACAACGATGACAATTGCCTCTTGAAGGATTGTTTTGAGAACCCATATTGTTCTCCCTTTTACGGCGACCACCACCACGACGATTATTATATCGTCCTATGCCATTGCCACGTCCACGCACATTATTTTGGCCTTGATTTTTATTTTGTCTTCTTTCAGACTGGCCATGTGCTTCAACCTCATTTGCTTCCGGTAACGGAACAGTTCCCGTGGGACGGGCCTCATGATTTTCAATAAAAGTGTATTATGTTGCTCAGCCACAAGAAGGCATGAGATCAACTCAAAATACTTTTTGAATCCCCTTTCACGGTATTGCTGCTGTAATACCAAATTTGAGGCATGAAAAGTTGTGAGAGTCTTTTCCAACATGTCCTCATCTTTTATATCTTCCCCACATAATTTTAATTGGGAAGTAATTTTGTATACAGCAGAATTATATTCACATATAGTTTTAAAATCTTGTAACCGCAAGTGAATCCATTCATAACGAGCCCTTGGCAATACCATTGCCTTAAGGTGGTCATACCTTTCCTTCAAACCAGTCCACAATTCAAGTGGATCTTTCACCGTAAGGTATTCAACCTTCAATCCTTCATCCAGATGATGACGAAGGAAAATCATTGTCTTTGCTTTGTCCTGACTCGACGTTGTATTACCGTTGGTAATAGTGGCACCAAGACTTTTAGCGTCAAGGTGAATTTCAGCGTCGAGTACCCATGACAAGTAATTATTTCCAGAAATGTCAAGTGCCACGAACTCAAGCTTTGATAAGTTCGACAGGATAAAACAGAAGCTTAACTTGGAAAAATTGAAATGATATTAGAGTTTTGTGCTGATAACGTGTTGTAAAACTTAAGGACAAAAGAACAATATAAAGAGGAAGAGAAGAAGACTATAAGACAAGAGGAACAATATAAACTAACATTCTTTCTTTCAAGTGTATTCAACATTATTCTCAACACCACTATTTATAGGATTACATTGAGGAATACCAAAAGGTGTCATAAACATTACATTAAACCTTGAGAATTACTACCCATTAAGGAGGAAATAAACCTAGGAGTTATGGTCATCCAATTAACCATATTATCAACAACATTACTACCAATAAAGGATGAAATTAACCTAGGAGTTATGGTCATCCATTTGACCACATTATCAACAACATTACTACTCCTAAAGGAGGGAAATTAACCAAGGAGTTATGGTCATCCATTTAACCACCAAAATGATTTACAACATTAACCATATTGTTCAACAAATGTCTCCTAACAGTTCTATTATTTATTTTAAACTTCTCTTTAGCATTATCATCAACAACCGCATGAGTGCTAGAACAGTAATAGCGTAAGCAACATCTAAAATATTATTAAAATAATCAATAGAAGGTAAACAAAATATAATTAGCCTCTAATTGTTCAAATAAAATTAAAAAAATGTGACCGGCATTTAAAATTGTATTCGTCTAAATGCTCGAGAATCATTTTATTCAAGGAAATAATCATTTATAAATATTATATGATAATATGAACCAACAAGAAAACAAAAATAACTTAGCAAACAAATATTATGCCATAACAAGTCACTGCCTTGAAAACGATTATAACTTTACTAGGGTGCAAATCGTTTAGGCCGGTCACTCTTGAATGTTCCACAACACGCCTAAACATGTGCACTTGTAGCTGAAAATTAAAGTTCACAAACAATGATTGCTCATAAAAACATAATAGGCACATCATCTACGTTTATGTATCAGAAAAACGTAAGAAGCTAAATGAAGTTAATATAATGAAACGATAATCTTGCTATAGTGAAAAAAATTGTCATAAAGACAAATAAATTCAAGTCTTCTCAAAAGCTAATATTTTTTTCACTAAGAAGTTACAAATTAAGAAACCGTCATTTAAATAAATGTGAACCACTTATGAAAAAGTAATTTAATTCTTTCGCTCCATATATACTTTCAACTTAGAAATATTACACAAATTTAATTATGCAGAGTTACAAAATGTTATCTAATTCTTTGCGTTACATTAAAAGGAATAATACCAAAAGCGTACCTATAGAATTTGTTCATTCTCAACATTATCCACAAAAATAGTAATCTAAAGAAGTTCACAAAAGTATGGAGCTCCAAATGTACCTTAAAATCTTTAAAGAAGGATTGTGAAGAGGTGGACACATTCAATATGATGACCAATTTTGAAAGAGAATTTAATGAGTTTTACATATTACGTATGTTACTTTCACGTGAAACTTTTACTGTTTCACACTCACAATACTTGATTGAAATTTAAATGTTTTTCTTTTGTTCTTTTCATCTTTAGCTTATAATAGTAAAAAAAGTTATTTTTAAAAAAATCATGAATTAGAGAAACCTATGGCAAAAACTGACAAACCTCGAGTCTGTTGAAAGTCACTGTAACACAATAGAATAAGGCAAACATAAAGAGTTCATTAGATCAAAAACAGCCAAGCCATACACAGCATCATATCATTGCAGTAACCCAAAAACAAACAGAGAAGAGTAACAGCAACTCAGCTTTGCACAGCCTGCACCCAAAATAGTGAAATACTATACATATTGATGTTCACTATTAATTCGAATAATATACACACAAAAGAAAGGGGTCAAAAATATCTTCGACATATAAAAAATAGTTTATGAACATGCCCGATTGAAACTAAATTTGGATTCGTGCTAGAAGTCCCACATTGAGGCCAGGGGCAGAGCTAAGTGGTGGTTCGTGGGTTCAAACGAATCCAGTAACTTTTTCACAGATCTTGTATTTGTATTAGAAATTAGAAAATTAAATAAATATATATATATATATATATATATTAACTTATGAACTCCTTAACAAAATAAATTGGCGACTCAATGGTAAGGAAGAGGCTCTGGAAATAATTTTCACACTAATGTTGTTGGCTCGAACTCACTATCAACAAAAAAAAATCAATTTTTTAAAATAACGAAGTATGTTTTACAATATTTTTCTCTTCTGTCCTAAAATTTAGAATCCCCAAACTCTTAATTTTTGTTATGCCAGTTGAGAGGTAAAACATTTTCTAAAAAAGGCAACTCCGTACTAACCTCGGATTAAGGATATAAAAGTGCTTACCACTCCAGTACAATTTTCGTTGATAGATTATGTTATATTTGTCCTTATATAACTACTATAATGTGAAATTCACCTAATCCTTGCTAGAGCTCCAATAAATTTGAATTATAACAAGTATGAGACAACAGAAGCAGAGTCTCTCCCTGTGTCTGATTAGTATTATTGACCCCACTAGTCTGCTTTAATAATTTCATCCAAAATCTTGCCATATGATATGGCCCCAGGAAAACTCCAGAGTTCAGTCCACATCCACTCTTTCCTGCCCCAAAGTTTTCTTCTTTTACACTTCCCAAAAAAGCATGCCTGACCATAAAACTGAAATTTTTTCAACAAAAAAGAACACATCACACCAACTCAATTCCTTTTCAAATCTAGACATTTTGCTCTCTAAAGTCTTTACCAACTGACCCACATCTGCAAAAACACACTACACCTCAACAAAATTTCAAAAAAGCCACTGACCCTTAACAACACAACATTTTATAAAAACTTCCACAAATCAAGTGGAGTGGTAATCCATATATTAGCAAAGTTAATTAATGCTTTTTCACTTCATATTAGTTTAGTAGTACTAATAAGCAATATAATACCACCATTTATACATTCATATCATTCATACAAGGGCACTATCACATAACCATATTACTACTAACTTGCCCAAACATTCATCAACAAAATGTAAAAACAAGGTACTCCTAGATAAAGCGAGTTAAAAAAAAACCATAGATTTGCTTCATTTTAGGCTGAAATAGTTGCAGATTTGCGGACGATGTATCGATAGGCTGCAACTTTTCTCTTTCGAGAGGCAGTGTTGTCTACAGAAAGCACCATTTTTCCAGCTTCTTTTGAAGTGAATGAATTGTGAATTGCCTCTTCATTGGCTGCAATTTTCCTTGGCTTCTCCACAGCAATGGTGTAACTGCCTTCACCATTTGGTACAAATTCTGCACTGTACTCCAAGTCCCATCCTCCTACTACTATATCCCATGTTATTGTTGCACCACCCTGTTTCAAATATTCAAAACCACTCAATAACATCCTCAAATACCTTAACCAAACATATCAACAACACAACACCATTTCCCTTTTAGTCCATTGAGAACAACAACAAAATAATATACTCAGTGGAGTCTGGGGAGGGTGGTGTGTATGCAATCGTGCCCCTATCATTCGAACATAGAAAGACTATTTTTCATAGACCGTCAGCTCAAGTGAGAAAATGATACATTTCTGTATTACCCTTAAAAATTCCCTATTAAGGCCACAAAAATGTCATTTACATTTTCAAGACAATTAAGGTTTTATTTGTACTTTTGATATATAGTAAAAAAACTTGCTTTGTTTCTTGAACTCTTCTTTGATCCTTGTTTAATCACACGAGCATAGTGTGAAAGCATGGTCAAGGACATTAAGACAGGCATAATGTAACATCATTAAAAATGACCCCATGTGGGATCTACTTTAATTAGAAGGTTAAATTATTGAGTATCCTATGTACAGCTAGAGTAGTGAAGCTGTAATTTCAAAATTTGACACAAATAATAATTGAATCTGTTATTCAAAATAAACCAAAAGTAGGAAAAGAATGAGAAAAGCAATAATGCACCTCAATGCCTTCAATTTGAATATTGACTTTCTCTCCTCCTTTGACAGTAAACTCAGAAGCAGGTTTTGGGGGGCCATTTTGTAAATCAGTAGGTCTACTCAATCCACCATACTGAACAGGTATATCCTCAGGCCTTATGAATCTGATCACAACAAATGTTTTGAAATTTTAGAATAATCAAATCTCAAACTATTAAGAAAATCAAGAAACAAACAAAATAGAAGCATTTCAAAGATAATTATACTAATACAGACAGCAAAAAAGACAAAAAAAAAATAAAAAAAATTATATCTCTAAACCAACAATTAATTAGTACTATAATGCAATAAAAATACCCACTTGTATAATGTCTCAGCAACATTTCCCTCCTTGGCTATCACAAACTTGCTCTTGGTTCTTTGAGTCAGAAATGGACTAAACATTGAATACAACACACTGAAGTACCATGGCACATTGATAAATATCTAAAATAAAATAAAAAGTTAAAAGACAATTTATGGAGGAAAAAAGATGAGATTTTTACTTAAAATGAAAAGAAAAGATTCACCTTACGAGCAACCATTTCAGGGTAATTGTCTTGAAAAAGAGATAAAATCTGATTTGAAGCAACCCTTAGTTCTCTCTTAGGCATATCTTTGAGATCAGTTACCTGCAAAGGCGAAGCTACGATTTCAACTTTATGGATTTTAAATTTTATAATGAGAATTTTAAGTGGAACCCACATACGGGCTACTAGCTCCGCCCCTGATTACCTGAATAATGGAATTAATTCCACCAGGCTTGAAATGCAGCTGTTCAATTCCTCTTTCAAGAACTTGAACTCTCCATCTCAAGAATTTTTTCAATTTTTCTTCATCTCCAAAGATTCTTTCATACATTTCTTTATCTTTAAA